GAACTGAGTGACAGTACCATTCCTTAGGAAATACAGAACATAATGCCAGTGTTGCTGCTGTAGATCACAAGCTTCCAAAGGAAGGTAAAGGCCAACAAGAACTTTGTCCTAAAAAGTTTTTTGTGCAAGCAACCTTTGGATGTATTCAAAATTGCGGGAGGTATCCTGAAAGAGAACAACAGTTCTTTTACATGGGAAGGAAAGCACCTAGACCACATGTTTCAGTAGGAGGAAATAACTTACCCAGGGGAGGTAAAGACCAGCAACACTTTTTCCCTTTGCAGCTTGGATCCATTTGTCGGAGCTAGTGTCCTGAACATGAATCACATCACCTTTCCTTGGAAATATACACAAGCTCATCCTGCAGATGAGAGCTGCCTCACAGAGGTTAAGGCCAGCAACTGCTTTCTGTTCTGGAATCTCTTTTGTGGGATCAGTCCCTGGATGTATTCAATTGAGCAGTGGTATCCAAATTTCTAGGAGGGAGAGAGAAAGGGGGTGAAACAGCTTCCTGGGAAAGGAGAGCACCTTGCCCCAGTGTTTTTTGTATAGATGCTGGGCTGCCCAGACAAGGTAAACAGCAATAAAACCTTTCTTCTTGGGACATTTTTTTTTTTTTTTTTTTGTGAGAGTAATCCTGTGCCCTGTTTAGTTTTGAAGATTGAATTTAAATTTTGCATATGCCCTCCAAAAAGTGAACTGTATCTTTCCTTGTGAAAGAAAGCATGTAACCCCAGTAGTGGTTGAAGTCACCAGGCTGCTCAGGAGACCTAAAAGCCAGTAACAGTTTGTTCTCTTGGGGCCTCCTGTATAGCCTCAATTTTGGAACCTGTTAAGATTTGAAGGCTGTATTTCAGTTTTGGATGTGGGCTCCAGAAAGTGGATGAGACTGCCTTTCCTTGGGCAGAAAAGCACGAAGCTCAATATTGTTGCAGCAGATGACAGTATGCCAAGGAGAGAAAAGGACCAGTATCAGCTTTGTGTTCTGGCATCTTTTGTTTGGGAGCAATCCCTGGATGTCTTTAATGATGGTGCTCAGATTCAAATTTTGGAGGAGGTATTCTGAAATTTATGGCAGCACCATTCAACTTTGCAAGGAAAGCACTTAGTCCCCATGGTGGTGGTGCAGATGAGAGGCTGCCCAGGAGAGGTAAAGGCCAGCACAAGCTTTCTCTCCTGGCACCTTTTGTTTGGGCTCCAAGCCCAGACTGATTCTTTTTTGGAGGGGGTAACAAAATAGGGGATGCTGTCATCTGAAGACTATGAGAGTAAATAATTTATTTTGATGTATCTGGTTTGCTATCCTTGATCTTGCAGGACAAAGACAAATTCCCACCAACACTGAGCGTATTGTGCATTCCTTCCCAAAGAAAAGTAGTGACATCCTATTTTGGAATCCCACCTCTGGAATTTGCAGCTGAGCTCCAAAATTGAATGTGTTCAAGATTTGCTTCTACACAGAAGGTTCCAGGACAGAAAGATGTTTCTGGCCTTTACCTCCATTAAGTAGGCAATTATCTAGAGCACCCTCACTGTCAATACATGCTTTCCTTCCCTAGGAAAGGTACCTCCTTCAGGAGCCACTTGCCCAATTCTGCACACTACCTGCAGAATTATGGAATACATTGCTCTCATACAAAATGTGCCAGGATGGAAAACCCTTCCTAGCCTTTATACCCCATGAACAGCCTATCATCTGCATTGCCAATACTGGGAGTACGTGCCTTCCTTCCCAAGGAAAGCTACTGCCATACTTCTTCAGAAGCCCCTCTCCTAACTTTGGATACCAGCTCCAAAAATGAATACAACTGGTGATTGCTCCCATAGGAAAAGTGCTAGAAGAGAAACCTATTGTTGGCTTTTATACTCCCTGGGCACCTCACATTTCCAACACCAAAAATGGGATCAGGCTCTGTCCTTTCTATGGATAGGTATTGTCATTCTTTTTCAGAAGACCTTCTCTGAAAATTGGAGCCATCCTGAATTCATTCAGTCCTGAATACATTCAGGGACTGATCTCACACAAAAGCATCCAGGACAGAAAGTTGTTGCTGGCTTTTACCACCTCTAGGCAGCCTTTTATCTAAATCACCAACACTGGCACTATGTGCATTCCTTCCTGAGGAAAGAAAGGTGCTGTCATCCTCTTTCATGAGCCCAACACTGAAATACGAAGCTGAGCTCCAAAACTGAACATGTCCAAGGATTGTTCCCATACAAAGGTTTCCAAGAAAATAAAATATTCCTGGCTGTTAACTCCCCATGGCATGTTATTATCTGCACCACCAATAACGGGGCTAGGTGCTTTCCTTCCCAAGGAAAGGTAATTTGATTTTTCAGGAGCCCACTCCAGAATACGTCTGGGGATGGCTCCCACACAAAAAGTGCCAAGAGAGAAAGTTGTTCCTGGCCAAGAATTTCTATAGGCACCCTACAAATCTGCACTACCAACACTGGAGCTGGGTGCTTTCCTTCCCAAGGAGAGGTAATGTAATCCTCCTTCATGAGTTGACCTCTGAAATTTTAATAGCCCTGGGGATTGCTCCCACAGACACAATGCCAAGAGAGAAAGATGCTGCTGGCTTTAACCTCTCTTGGGCAACCAATCATCTCCATACCAATACTGTGTCAAGGTGCTTTCCTTCCCAAGGAAAGGCACCATCATCCTCTCTCAGGAGCCCACATCACAGTATTTTCTCCCTCACTAGCAATGACAGCATGCATAAGAAAGTTCAGTGCAAGAGATTAATTTGCCTTCCACAAACCTTGAAACTCAGAGCTGCATAGTACTACATGAAAACGTGAAGAATTCACAAAGGGAGTCACACACATACAAAAAATCTTACTTTTTGAGGTCAACACAGATGCTCTCTGCCTTTTAGGGCAGAGACAGCTCCCAGTTCTGTCCTTAATGCACTGCTAGAGATAGATGGTGAGAGCTGGTTTGAACAGGCACATACCTCTGATGGCAACTCAGGGCATACAAGCCTCAATACTTACTTTACTTAAAAGTCCATTGGTCTGAACTGGCAGGTGTGGCTACACTACACAATTCATGTCAGCCTGGGATGTAGCAGAAGGGAAACACCTAAAGGACAAAGACTGCAAAAGAACGTCCCCACACACAGTTCTGTTGCTGCCTGTTACTCTGACATTTCCAACCAGTTAAGAGTCCAAATTTCTCTGTAAGATTTTGAAGTCTTGTAAGTCCAGCACAAAGCTGAAATAGTAATTTTATGACTCAGAAGACCACAACAAATTCTGGTATTCTGTATAACACAAAGCACAGAATCTCATTCAGTCCTACATCCACTATTTTGATTTGCATGTAAAAGGTTTACTAAAATTCTTGTAGAGGGAAGAAAAAAGAAATGATGTAAAAGCACAAAAATTGTCAGTGTTTTAAAAGTCCTTATAAAAGCCGGTGAAACAATTCACAGGACAGATTTTCAGCAAGAACAATGACAGGTCCATAGGCTTTTTGGGATAACATCTGGATAGATGCAGGTTAGCAAAGTTCCATGATTTTATGGGTAAGCAGGACTGATTAACTTCAGAGACCAGAATAAGAGTCTGAAAATTACATGTACCTTTTAAGATTCCTACATTCACACACCACATGTGAAAAATGGACCAGTCCAACAGACAGCTGTCAGTGATATTCCCCAAACTCCCATGGTCTGCTATTATCCGCTCTAGGGACTCTGTGACTTCTATTGTCTTTTATCCCTGCACCTGTCCCCTGGTTTTTACTACTACTTTGTTAAGAATAATAATTTCACACAGCTGGTAGTTGATTATTCTGCATTCAAGTAAATGTTGTAAATATGGGTAGTTTTATAACTTGTAATTATTGACAACGAGCAATTGTGTAACAATACCAAACAACAGTGTTATAACATCTGTATTTAAATTATCTTCACATGTTGATTCAACACACCATTTTTCACTGCCACCTAAAAGTATCTGACAGGCCTGTATAAGTGCAACCTGATGAGGCTCCATCTGAAGGACTTCAGTGGATCCTGTACTAAAGCAAATCAAGTGTATTTTTAACAAGAGTCAAAGTAACAGGAATGAAAACTCAGAAACAATAGAGGCTGTTCACTGAAAATCCTTCTATTTCCTAGATCATTGCCTGAAAAAGTCCCAAATGTTGCCAGGCTGACATGAAATGTATCATCTGATTTATCACCACTGGGCTGAGAAATAAAATTGCAATATGATTTAGAACTTTTCAGTCTCTCTCATCACCAAATACTTCTAAACAAAATCATACCAGTTCACCTGACAGCTTGAGACTTATGGCCTTCAACAGTTAATTAAGTTGAATATGTACACATGCTGGAGTGCTATTTTGATTACTGAGTCTTGTTTCTTCCCAAATCTCTCACATCCATCTCCTCCTCTTCCACAGTAAATATGAAATAGTAGATTATAAAAAATTAGGAAACCTTGTTAAAGTATCATACTGAATTCTTACTAGACTATTAACATATAACAAGAAAGCCTTAAATGTTATTTCTCAAGTTAACAAGATATACTCAACTTACTTGTATGGTTGTATTATTCTCACTCATTACTTGTTAATAATTTTTAGGGTTTTTATTTTAAATTCTGCCTATTTTGGCTCTGTCATTCATATGAAACAGCAGGTCTTCCACATGGCAAATTTAATCTTCAGTAAGTTGAGAAGAACATTCATGTAATTAACAATATGCAATTAAAAAAGAAAATCAATATGGCAAAATACACACTACTGAGGAAATATTAATAATGAGTAATTTAGTAGATACCAAACTTTGGTACAATTACCTCTGTATTATTAGATTTCAGCTTTGTCTGAAGAATCCTAAGCTACTGGTTTGGGCCTATTAAATTTATAAATTATACTTTATTGCTACCATTTTCAGAACTGCTAGAGCAGTACTACATAAATGAATAATGCACCAGTAGAGACTTTCACAGCAGAAAACTTACACAAAATAGAAAAGCCTTTGTAGAAAGGATAGTGGTTTTTATTGCAGACTTAGAAAATACTGAATTACGAAAAATACAAAATCAACTGTTGTAATTATCTGTTTATTTTACAATCTGTATGCCATCATACCCATATGGCTTTAAGATAGTCTGTTCAAAGTATTTTAAAACATGCTTTAACAAAGTATTTTACAATTTCAAAAATGAATGTTTCTTTACTGGAAGAGAAAAAAAATAAAACCAAACTCCAAAAACATTTTCCTGAGAATTCTGTATCATAAAATTGTCATTCATTCATAACATTTGCAAGTTGATGATATAGGCTTATAGAAGTCAACATGCAACTTGTAGGTCTATGGTATTAAATAAATATTTTAAAAATTAATTAGATGCAGCTGGTCAGGCACAAACCTACCCTCAAACTTCATCAAGTTCATATCAGGTTTAAAAACATGATGTTACTTTTATCATAGGTCAATGACTGCCATGATTCCTGCCCTGGAATCCCTCCACCATCAGCTACATGCAATTCAGGCTGTGGCTGATCCCCAGACTCCAGCAGTGGAGCACAACTCTTTAGGGATATTGCATCACTGACCTTGTGTTCCAACATCTGCAGCAAAGTGTGTCAGGCCTTTGGGCCACTGGATAAGCTCCCAGACAGCCATTCCCTACAAAGACGCTCCAACTTGTTATAATAAGGACTTAACCCAAGGAATTCTATTTCCAACTATGTGCACTACTAGGACAATGTTTTAATGCCATTGTCCACGTCATTTCAGAATATCACCAGCTTTAAAAGTGATAGTAGTTATGAACAGTAGAGGTTTGGGCTTTGAATTTTGTTTTTTATTATTTCTTTTTGGTTTGCTTTTTTAAACAAAATGGAGACATAATAGCAAAATGCTTCCCAGGGTGGCAGTGTGGGAGGGAGACAGGATTAAATTAACCAGGAATCTACAGAAACTGAAGAAAAAGCCCGGAGAACTTCATGAAGTAATACATATACAGGATCACCATATCTCAATTATGTAATTTAAAAGAATTTCAATCCAATTATCATGATGTCTGCCATGTAGTATTTATTTCTGAATTTCAATTACTGCAAGCATTGTGATTTATACAAGCTATGCGCCATCAGCATATTTTTTCCCTTAAAAAAGTAATGATACATGATGAAAATCCCAGGATTCACTAGAGATTTGAATCAACTTTCAGTCCCATAGGTGAGGTAGTGTAGTCATTTGTGTTGCGTGCTGGTTACGAGAAGTCCTGTTGAAATCTGTTAATTTTTAAATTTTTGTTTTAAATAAGTGGCTTACTGTATTTATTAATGCTATGTTACCTATGGATGCTGGGGAGAGGAAAAAAAAGAGCCTTGCCAAGAACAAGTTTTGCCTTGCTGCAAGGTAAAACTGAAAAGCAGTATTTACAAGGGCTGTTGCTTAGTTGCTGCCTACTGTACATGCACATAAAGACACAAAAAGCTAATACACATTCTGAGGTAGGAAATGAAGAATTCCACTGGCTTGTACAAGATTCTTCATGTTTTGTAAACCAGCAAACCCAAAGTTTTCTGTGGTGAGGTTCAATACTTAGTTCTGGTGTGAGAATAGCATCTCAATAACAAAACATCATTGGTATACAATATGCATCCACTGCTATGTAAAAATCTAGAAAATGGGGATTATTTTCAGTAGCTGAATTTCTCCTTCACCAAGTAATAAGGAAGTAACTCCAGCTAATTTCTTCAATAAACTTTTTATATATCTATGCTAATAGCACAAGCCATTGAAAATATACTACAGGTTTAGCCATCAAGTATCCTGAAGATTGATTCTGAAATTGAACTTTACTGGTCCCAGTGATCAGAGAACAAATATTTGTAACTTACTTGAGGCAGTTAGGCACTGAAAGAAAAAAATGTGGTGCCTGAATACCTTAAAAAAAAAAAAAAAAAAAAAAAAAAAAAAAAAAAAAAAAAAAGTCTGTCCTTAGACTTTCACAATACTTTGATTCCAACTTGCCACAAACAAGCAGCAAGCTTGAAGGTGCTAGGACAGGAAGTCACAATACAACTGTGAGTTTTATTAAGCCTATGGGATTCAGATGCCAGAGGATCCAATGCACACTCATCCAAGAACTGCACCAGTTTCAGATGCCTGCCTTCCACAGTGCGTTGTTATTCCTCCCACTAAACTTAGAGAAGAGAGCAGTATGTGGCAGCACCTCTGCCGCTCCAGTTCTTTTAATTCTGTACTACAGCGACAAGACAAAACCACTTATTCAATAAAAGCCTACTACCAATCAATTCTACTACTACTAGTAGCCTACTACTTTAATTCAGTAAAGTCTTCTCTGGGATGGGGAGGGGAGCAGCAGGAAGCAAGGAGCTATACCAGAATGCACTTTTCAAAATCTCCTCATCCTGTCATGTAACAGCCCATCTACAAAATGAACATTTACAGAGCTATATATGCTTTTAAGGTTTGTCTACCAGGAAGAAAGAAGTCTTAGAAGAATTCCAGGTATAGAAGTCATTGCGCATAAACAGTGTCATGAGGCTTTCCTTAAAATGCAGAGTAACATTAAGTACTGTGGCATAAATCGGAGTAGGCTGCTCTACACGTGAACAAAACTTCCTCACAAATAAGCACCTGTGCATGGAATTTGTACTTTCCAACAGCTTTCCTGAACCCTCCTTGGCATCACCACACAGAAAAAGCTCCAAGGCTGACACATACAAATTATGTTCTGGAACTACACAGAGCAAACACAAAGCTTGCCAAGTAATAATGGTGACCATGTAATTGTCAATATAGCTTCAAAAGATTAAACTTTTGTCGTTTCTTTCACTTAGTAAGTTACTTTCCAATAATGCTCAATCCCACTTCTTGTTGCAATGCTGAGAGGCTGGCAATGGGAAGGAGAGATTCATTCATCTGTAGTGCATTTGTCAGTCATTTGCTGGCAGAAGTCTGTGATGCCACTGTTCTGTCCACACGGCTCCACGAGCGACGTTTGCTCCAATGTTCTGGCAGGAACTGGATGCAGTTCTTGTACTTGATCATACGCGGCCTCACACACGCTTTTGACACACTGATAACAGGAACTCTGCTCAGCTGTAGGTGGGACACCTGAAACACCATTTGCTGATTCTACAGATGCTGGTAGCACAAGCTCACTATCAGATGGAGCTGTTTGTTCTCTTTTTGGGAACAAAAATGAGAGTGGACAATCTGAAGAAGAATATTTTGCAAGTATTTGTATTTGCTCTTGACTCAAGGCTGCTTCCTTACACACCTGTTGGCAAAGTCCAGTCAGATTTTGCTTTGTCTCACCCAGAGTTGATAAAATGTGGTTTCTTTCCTTCAGCAAATTCTCCTTCTCATTTTGCTGCAAAAGGAAAAATAGTATTTTAAATACATCTACATTTTAACATAAAAACTATGTTTTAAGTTCCTATCAAAGCTAAAACAAGACCTTACATACTCTGGTCTGCTGAAATAGAAGTAATTTGGCATTAAGAAAATAAGCAACAACACAATCAAACACATATCAAAAGGTCAATCCTAACCTCTCTGGAAGCATCATCAGTTAAGATATCTGATCTGTTTTTTCAGATACGCAGCTTTTTCCAAACTCATGCTGGCAGACAAAGGAGTAATTTGTAGTTATTGAACAAATGAAACATAGCTGCACTTACAGTGAATATTCCTGAAACACTAGTTCCAGGATAACACAAACCACTACCAATGAGCCAACAAAACATCAAGCAGTCTTCATAGAGATCTGTATTTTAAAATTGAAATGCTGAAAATCACATATCATTTTAATTGCTGATACTCTTCTGTTTGGTGAAAGTAACTTACATTCTTAAGAAGTGCCAAATCCACTACAGGACAAACAATGTAGTTAAGTATAGTTCTTAAATTAGATAGAAAATTTCAGAAAGGTAAAGGAAAGAAGATGTGGTGAACAACTAACAACCTAGAGATTATGTAGCAGGATTGTCCAAGCACATGGCAACAAACAGGATGGCAACTCAATAATAACTATCAAGTAGAAAAAAGTAGCCTGTATTAAATCAAGTTTTTACTTGGCTTCAATGTTGTGAATTTTTGTGAGACTTCTGATAGAACTGGCTAAAGATGAAAAGACACTGATAACTGAGAAGTCTAATCACGGAAACAAGCAACTTTTTGAATAAAGAAAAATGAGGAAATGGCAAAGGATAGGGAACAACCAAGACCATCATGAAGAAGTTGAACGAAAAGGACAAAGAACCAGAATCCAAACATGTCACAAACATTTTTAATTCTGTAATTAATTAATTAAAAGAAGATAGATTTTTGAAGACACACAAGGCTTTAAATAGTTTTCAAGTCTTAATCATAGGGATTATGTGTTACATCTACTGTTATGTCAACTCGCTCTTGTAAAGTTTTATTATTTTCACTCCTCCTCACATCCCCTTTTGCAGAGAAACCTCATAATGCAACCCCTACAACTTCTTTTTGAAAGAACTGATTTAAGTTTAGGCAGCATTTGGCAAGAGGAACAGTTGTTGCCAGTTCTTTTTGTCTAAAATTAAAAGAAAGAGGACTTGGCGAATAAATTTCTATTTGTTAGCATACTGGGAACAGTTGTTAATCATAAAATATGCCACACTGGAAAGGAGCCATCAGGATCACTGAGTCCAACTCCTGAGCCTGCACAGGATACCTCAAGAGTCACACCCTGTGCCTGAGAACTTTGTCCAAACACTTCTTGAACTCTGTCAGGCTTGGTGCTGTGACCACTGCCCTGGGGAGTCTGCTCCAGTGTCCAACTACCCTAAAGGGGGAAGAGGCTTTTCCTAATGTCCAACCTAAACCTTCCATGACTTGGCTTTATGCTGTTTCCTCGAGTCCCGTCACTAGTCACAAGGAGATTGGCACCTGTCCCTCTGGAGGATGCTGAAGACCTCAATGAGATCTCCCCTTAGTCTCCGTTTCTCCAGACTGAACAGACTGAATGCCCACAGTCATCTCTCATAAGATTTCCCCCCTCCAGACCCTTCCCCATCCTCACGACCCTTCTTTGGATGCTCTCCAATGGCTTAAGACCATTTTTTAAACCATGGTGCCCAAAACTGCCCCCAGCACTCGAGGTGAGGCTGCCCCAGTGCAGAGCAGAGCGGCACAATGCCCCCTCTTGCCTGGCTGGCAATGCTGTGCCTGATGCCCCCCAGGACACGGATGTCCCTCCTGGCCACCAGGGCACTGCTGACTCCTGTTCAACTGGCCATGGACCAGGAACCCCAGGTCCCTTTCTACAGCTGCTCTCCAGCCTCTCATTCCCCAGTCCACACACACAGCCAGGGCTGCCCTGTCCCCAAGCAGAATCTGGCACTTGTCCTCATTAAACTCCACACTGTTGGTGATTGTCCAAGTGTCCAATTGGTCCAGGTCTCTCTGCAGGGCCTCTTTGCCCTTGAGGGAGTTGACAAACTCCTCCCAGTTTAGTGTCAATGGCAAACCTAGGGTGTGATCCATTGAGTCCTCTGTCCAGGTGGTCAATGAAGGTGGTGAGGAGCACAGGGCTCAGGATGCAGCCCTGCAGAACCCCACTGGGGACCTGATGTCACCCCAGTCACTGTCACCATTTGCTCCTGACCCATGACCCAGTTGCTCTCGCCGACATGATGTTTTTATCCAGCTGTGGGCTGGACATTTTGTTCAGAAGGATCCTGGGAGAGCCTGTCAAAAGCTTTGGTGAAGTCCAAGAGGATTACATCTACTAGCTTTCCTAGATCAGCTGGGTGGGTTACCCTGCCATACAAGGAAATCATTTGACAAGCAGGACTTTCCCCTCATGGAGCCATGCTGGCTGTGACTGATCCCTGCATTCTTCTCCAGGTGTTTTTCAATACTGATCAGAATAATCTTTCCATTCTGTTAGGCAGATCACCTAATACCTTTTGTTTATGTAGAGGCACTCAGCTCTGCATTATTATAATAAAATTATCTGGACTGCTATTTAAAGCAATATTCAGAAATAGTCATTCCAGCATAAATTCCTCACCTCCCTTCTGAAGCTGTTGACAGGTTAATGCATTTAAATATTATTATTTTATTTTATCAGCATAATACTAATACTATAAAACAAAGTCAGTCAGTTTTGAGGTCATAAAAAACTGAGAGCTCTTTTGAATCTCCTGCTAAAGAATGTACTTAGTTCACTCACCTCACCCTGCTATAATATATATAACAAGATCTCAATTACATTTTTCTTGGAGCACTGACATCCTCCTCAGCTACAGAATCTTCAGCAAAGTAGTGCTTCTTGAGACCAGTTGTCCTCTACTCTGCTCCCCCTCGCAAGTACCCTCATTTTAAAAGTTTCCAAGTGAAAAATCCAAGGATGGGTCAGGTTGGAAGGGACCACAGTGGGTCATGTGGTCTGACCTCCCTGCTCAGGCAGGGTCATCCCATTGTCCAGGAGAAAGTACAAGGAATGTGAATATACACAGGGTCTCTGAAAGAGCTGTTTCTAACAAGCTGGTTTTAACATTTCCTAAGTAGCCCTTGCATGTTCTCAAATACAGAACATCAACGAACACCCAGATTCACCTGAAAGGTCAATAAGCAAAGGCCATATGGGAAGGTAAAAAAATGACTTTATCAGTACAGAAGATCAAAAGACATGATCAAAGGTAACTCTCCCAAATAACATATTCAGCACTGAACAATATTTTTATTCAATCTAAGTAGAACTTAATGTAAGATTTCCAATTTTACAAAATCACTTGGGAGGGGAGGTACCACAGCAGTCTGTAGTCTGACCTGCTGCTCAAAACAAAGTCGGAGATCAGGTAAGATCAGGCTGCTCAGGGCTTTGCTCAGTCATGCCATAAAACCCTCAAAGACAGTGCATGCACAGCCTTTCAGGGTGAACTGCTCCACTGCCTGCCTGTCCCCAGTGGAAGAAAAAACTTTTCCTTACATTCAGATGAAATCCCCCTTGTAATTTAAGACCACATCTCTTGTTCTCTTGCTGACAAGTACTCCCCCAGAAAGCTGAAGATCTTCCACTACCAAAGGCTGTATAACCTCAAGGACTGTCCCACAGATATGGGCAGGGAGCCATTAGGTCTCCCCACCCCTTTTCTGGGTAGAAGCCCCATTTCTTTGGCCTCTCACCACAGAAGTACTTCAGGCCTGGCCATGCCAACGGCCTTCACCCAACCTTCCTTCTGTTGATCAATGTGCTCCTGGGACTGGGCGGGGTGAAAACCCAGCAAACAATTCAGTGTTACATGTGCCAAGATAGGTAATAAGCACTGCCCTCCAACAATGGGCTGCACTCCTGTTAACACAGTCCAGGACACTGATGGCGTTTTTTTTTTAGTCTGGACATGTTGCTGATCCATGCTCAGCCTGCTGTCTGACCAGGCCCCAAGGTGCTTGTCAGCAAAGCTACTTGCCAGCTGCTAGTCTCCAGCCTCTAGCCAGGCAGGGGTCATTCTGTTCCAAATACAGGACTTTTCCAAGAAACACACCACAAGCATCTTCTGAAAGAGAAAAAAACTGAAGCAGCACCAAATAGAAACTAATACAAGACAACATGTTGCACATACTGAAAACCAGGATGAGGAATTCCACGAAAAAGTATTTCCTAACTGGTAGTACAGAGTATTATCTACTTGTCAAGAGCTGTTAAACTACAGCTACACCATTCTATTCCCTCTCAAAGCCCCATTACAGATGAAACCATGAGATGATCAAAGTCTAAAAGGTCTGAGACATGACTGACCCAGAGAAGAGGAACAAGGCAGGAGCCATCACGCATGAAGCAACCTGGATGTACCATACATAGCCCCTCCTCGACATCTCTTTTCTTCCATCCATCTGGAAATCATGCCTAGACTGATCTTGATGTTTCTGTATTTGCGTACAGCTTATACAAATTTGATGATCTGTGGCTGTCAGGCATGGTCAACAGCTCCAAACAGAGTCTTTTCAAGAATTTCTGAAGAAACTTACCACACAGTTGAAATAAACATATGCAACTGGAACATGTTTGTGCCTAGAGGATGATTCATATAACTCAGACCTCACCTCACAGTTCTCAAGACTCAACACTTATTATCTAGGCCTTGCACAGTGTTACCTGTCAAACAGCAGACATTCAATCTGTTCCAGCATAGGTCCACAGAAAGAAGGATATTATAATTATTAGTTTCAAACAGCCACATGCCTAATCTTGCACATCAACCTTTAATCACCTGCCCAAGTATTGCAAAATATTGACAGAGTTACATAACAGAAATGACAACATGATGACAAAACCAGGCAAAAAGTTCTGAAGTGTCAGAAATGCAACTTCTCTCTTCAGTAAGGATATTATTAGTACAATCACCTGATTACCCTCCCTCACAGCGCACCTTCTTTATTGAGCACAACCTGCTCTGTCAGCTTATCAGAGCTCTGTGGCACTGCAAGCCCTCTTTCAAAGCCGAACTCCTCATTGCAGAAGTAGGAGTAGATGGAGTGAAAGATGATTATCACAAGAAAGTAAGTTTCCAGTCCGTGGCACTTGGCTCTAACTTTACTTTCCTTTTCACTTTGAAGTCAAAAAAGATGCAACATGACTGCTATGTTCCAGCTGATGCAGATACCAAATTCAGGTACACAAAGCCTAAAATGCTCCATGAATGAGAGTACAGTAGTCCTAAACAACTGAACTATTTCGTGCACATGGCTATGACCAACTATGAAACTGAGATGAGAGTCAAAGACTTGTTTTTCTGAAAAGCCACTCAATTATCTTCTTGCCTTTGCTATTTTTACATAATCTTAACCTCAGATTACCTACATTTCTCTTAAATTACATATTTATCTTTTTATTGCCTTCTTAAGGAGGAGAAAATGTATTAACAGATGGCTGCTGAGAAATCTGGATGCATCAATTCCTCAGCTACAATCTTGATGCAACTGCTAAAAAGGCAAGCAACTTCCCAAGTTCTTCTGTATCTTCTGCCTTTCTGCAAGGGTCTCATTTTTAACATTCAAGACTCAGGAAACAGTTTGCCAGCCCACGTTGATGTGTTCCAAGAACAGTACTTACACAACTAACAATTGCGTAACTGCAAACTTGATCATGAGCAATACCATGAGCTGAAGAACAAAATCTTGAAGCAAGAAAGGGGAAGAGGCAAAAAGCAGTATAGGATAACAATCTGGGAATCATTCTGTACAATTAAATTCAAAGCTTATGGGTTTCAGAAACATCATTCACCAAAAATTATGCTGTGATGCATGTTTTATTTGAATGGAAACAAGTCCACAGAAGGAAAGATGTGTGTACTTTAGAGCAAGGCTCAGAAAAACCTAGAACTGCTATCAAGGAGTTATACAAGACTGATAAACTTGAGTGGAAAAAGTAGTAAATCACCCCACTCTCAAGCTACTGCCAGATAGCCAGTCAAGATGTTTAGAGAAAGACATGACAACAGCAATGAATATTTATACATACCAGCTTTTCAATTTCAGATTCAAGATTTTGTATACAGTCAAGTTTTCTCTTGCGACATCGCTGTGCTGCAATTCTGTTTTTACTTCGTCTTCGGATATCATGAATACAGTCCAATTGTTCAGGAGTTAATTTATGCATTTTCAGAAATGACTGGAAGTCATTTCTGGAAAGTGAGATAATCCTTTGTGCATTAAACGGCAGTTTTACCTAGAATGTGAGATACAGTTGTAAATCTAAGGTGGAATTAATATACATAAACACCAACAACTCAAGTTTCCATCTTAAGCATTCTTTACCACACAACTCATCTTTATTCCTACATCTCAGAGACAAGAGCAAACTAACAACCATCAGATGATGGGATAAAATCCAGGGGATTCAACTACAGGAGTTCAAGCACAGGTGCAGTAGAGCTTAGATCCTTACAAGCATATTCAGAATAGGCTGAAAGCTACTTGTGTGTGCATCAAATATGCAGGTGATACACTAAGAACGAGTTACAGTTTGGTGAGATACAAAACAGGTGTCAAGACTCACTCATACAGTCTAAAGTTTTCCCAAAGCTGCTATTAAGACTGTATCCTGCATACAGTTTTATACCAACGCTTTTTATTTTCTGCAGGAAAAGTTAATCTGAAACAGGTATTTCCTTAAAATACAGAAGTTACAATAGTCATCTTTTATTTTTGAGTGTTGGAGAAGACAGAGGACCAGGCTCTTGCTACTGTTGTATACCTGAGCTACAAAAGCATTTGAGATCACAAAGTGTTGACTAATACTGAAAAACATATTTACCTTTACAAAATAATCACCATGATTTTGAGTATCCAACTAAAGACATTTTATTTTAATCCTTTCATTTGAGTGTAGTAAGTAGCAGAATATGTCACCTTGCTGTGGTCAAAGATCTGTATTTAGTTTAAAAAGAACACAGGGAAATCCTTCCTCTGACTGGCTACTACTGGTGACAAACAGGAAAAAAATAATAAGAAATCCCAGAGTACTGTCCTCAGCAATGATACCACTTGCTCTGTTACATAAATGTGAGGAATGTTTTTAACAAATTCTGGCCTTTTGTTTAGCACTCCAGATTTTTTGTATTGATGGCAGGTTCCATTATGTTCAGCCTCAGTAAGGCCCTGCATCTTGAAAAATAAAAACCCTAGTGCTTTGAGAATAACTGAATTTTTGTAACATTTAATGATCCATCATGCAGAATTACACTGCGATTCTATGATTCTAAGAACTGAGATGGAAATTGTTCCAGGTATATCACTTAGTACTAGAGAAGGTGATATTATTAAACAGTCTTAAATATACAACTGTTGAAGCAAGTTTAAAAGCTTAATTTTCACTTCACATTAAATCTGAAGTATAATTTCTCTCCCACCTTCACCCCACAGCTCAGAATAAACCCAAGAAAACTGGTAAGTTTCTATTAAACAAAGGTTCCAAGAAGTTTAGAGTTTCCTTAAACTGTAAACTGAAGCAGATAAAAGAAAAAAAAAAATCTAAGAATGAACCTTCATGCCTTGATTTAAGGCTCACAACTTTTTCTGACAGTTCCAGAAAAAAATCTTAAAAGATCTAATATGTAAGCATCTAACATTTCAGTATCTGACCAAAAATACTTTCATACTTTTATTCAGTCTCCTTGAATTAACAGTGACCTTCCATATAAACCTCTGAATGGTTATTTAAAGTTTCAGTCCCAGACTTTTTTAAAACAAGCAGCCACAGAAAAAAACCCAGAACAACAAAACACGGAAAACTCAGATTTTTGAATACGGCCTTAAAAGACTGGGAAGCAAAGGATACATCAGGATATTCTTACCTCACATTCTTGCTCTCTTGCTGAACAGGATTCACTGTCTCCCTCAGTGTCAGTCTCCGAATCCTCTCCCAGACTTATTACATAGTTATAGGGACACTGTTCTTGTTGCTGTCCCTGAACATAATCTCCACTGTTTATTTCAGAGGTGTTGGAACATCCTTCAGTGCTAAGATTGCTTATAAAGGGGCAATTGACTGAATTCAGTGTTGTAAAAGTTCGCTGAGAGCAAGGTTCAGGGCTTTCACTGATCCTGATCCCCAGCCACGGACACTCTGATTTTTTCCCCGAGTACGTGGGCTCCAAATACTCTTTAGAAACTGCAGGTGGTAAATGTATTTGACAGGCATCTGTGCTGTGAACATCACTCCAGAACCCCTGTGCTAGCTGTTCTGCTATCTCTCTCTCCACACTGCTTCGATCTCCAGCTGAGGTGATGCTAGTGGCTTCCCTAATGCACAAATCCACCTTTGAAGACGGGTTACCTTGACTTTCAGTTTTGTCATTTCCAGCTCCAGTACTTAACACAGTTTTTTCAGCTAAGACTGTGTTGTTTTGCATACTACTGAAATTCAAGTTACCATATTGCTCACAACTATGTAGAACAGACACAGAATTGAGTCCATGAGGTGCAGCAGAGTTTTGGGGGAAAGCAGCAAGATCCATTTTCTCCACAGGACATGACACATTCCGAGTTACAGAATCTCTCCTTAACTCTTCTTTTTTCTGAATGCCTTCTTCCCCTTCCTCCATTTCTACCTGAGTCTCTTCACAGTTTGAGATCAGCTGCATAGGCACACACTCCTGAGCTTTTTGTATACCATCATTATCAGGTATTTCCTTCTCAAGAGAAGTTGCAAATGGTGGTACCTGAACATCTTTAATACTGGAACTGGACTCTGAAGTATTAACTTTGTCATTTCCAAAGGCTTTCTGGAATTTTCTATACTTTGGGCATTGGGAAGATAAGCTGGAAGCACTACCCCTTTCTAAATGTACAGGATCACAGTTTTGATTGGCATTATTTTGGAGAACAGGCGATGATTTAGCATTTTCTTCATCTTTACAGGGCTTTGTGTCAGGAATTTGACTATATTCCTTTTCTAGAAGTGCTTCTACTTCATAATTTATTTCTAGGTCTCCATCATCCACATTGCCAGTTTTAGGGTTTGCTTTCTGACAACGCTGTGTGCAACACTTCTTCCTAGGACATTCCTGCTGATCCAATTTAAAGTCCAAAAATCTGAATTTGAGAAATTGAAAGCAGGACTCCTCAATGTTGTGTACACCCAGAAATTCTGCACATTTGCAAACCTCAGACACATTGTCTTTATTTAAAACAAGTTTTGCTGTATACGCAAACTGAAGCAAAGGACTAAATCCTTTAAGTGTTACCTATTACAAAAACAAATGAAAAAAAAAATTAGTATGGTCAATTTGGCTTTAAGCAGAGAAATACACAAATTTACCTGTCTTGCCAGCAGGACAGAGCACAGGACAAAAGCAGCAGACTTGTTCTATTGTGAAAACTTGGTCAAACTCATTCTGAAACAATTCTTCTGATACAATTGTATCACGCATATTTTGTGACAGTTTTCTTTACTGTGATCTGTCTCTTAATAAAACGTTCTGGCAATGCAGTACTATAAGCAGAAAGTACTGTTGTATACTGAAAATCTAGTAGTAATTAGATTCCAACCTCACAAAGATATATTTCAAAGCAAGTTGTATACTAATTACTTTACAGTATGCTGCTGGTATTTAATTGTAGTTTTCCATGAGCAATTACTGTTAATCACTTAGTCTTATGCACCATTCATGCAAAAAGTTCAAAGAAATGGAGTCTGACCACATGTGATTATTTACTACTACAGCCACCTACTCCTTTCTTCCTCCCATAGATTTAAAGAAAGACACTCAAAAATGGTACACCAAACAGAATTTTCAGTTTAAAGCCCCTTTAGAGCAAGTGATTTTAATTGAACATTTATGTCTTCACAGCAGTTGCCTATCAAGGAACCCAGAGATAAACAAAAACTGTATCATTAGAAACTGCGCAAGATCTTCTACACATAAAAAAAATGTCTAAGGAATCAAGCAGAAAGCCACAAACAGATCCCACAGATTACCAACTACATGACACTTCCTTTAGCCTCTTCTCTGCAAATGAAGAATAAAGCAGTATGTCCACTATTAATAACTAAACTCAAGTCCACACTCTGCTCTCTGCCTTTATTGAAATGACCAGTATTTTATGTTAAATAAAGCACTATATCAATGCATTAACTACACTGAACCCTTCTGCCAGCAAAATAATGAATTATTAACGCAATTCAATTTAAGAATCAGTTGAGGGTTTGTTTACTTTGGTTTTTTTAGTAGTTGTTTGGTATGTTCTTTTTAAAGAACACAACACATGAAGTTGATGAGATCTGCACAGAGCCCAGTCCTTTAAAACTGTCTGTAAACACTTACAATCTTCCTAAAGAATTCTTAAAATAGCATTTGAAATATGCTCTGGAGATTATACCACCACATTAATTCATCCTTTAAAATGCAGGGAAGCAGAATGTAAAAGACAGTTTATCCATAATCTGTCAACATGTCTTCAGACTTAGTGTAGTTAACAAAACATTAAAGTTGCTTTACAAATAAGTAGCATTCATAAATGAAACTGAAATAAAAAAATACAACGGTATTTTAAAACTGTAACTTCTTTCTATTTAAAGGGGACACACTACAAAAACTGCAATGATCAAGAGGGGAAAAATACTCCTTTCACTTTCTCTTATATATTTCTAGCTAGCTATGCTCAAACAAGAAAAAAATCGTAGAAAGACTCTTAGTGTGACTGACCTAGAAAAGCAATTCTTGCAGTAGTCATTTATCTAATTTTTATTTGGGATGAAAGTCAAAGAATAAAAGCACTGGCAAAAAACCAACAGACCTCAGAGCAAGATGACAGCATTTAGTCTTTACAATATAATATATATGAAGTACTTGAATTAAAAAAATATTTTTGGTACCCCAGATTGTGGGCTGGTGTCTTTCAGCTCTTAAATCCCCTACTCTAAATCATCAATTAAACCCCAGCCTACCATAAAACAGAACTGAACAAAGCAGATTAGAAGCACTAGGAGGTAAAATGCAGAAGGGAGTGACACTCACCTCTTCCGGTAAGGTGATGATAAGATCAGCATCCACCTGGCCCACAATTCTTGAAAGAAAGTAACTGCTGCAAGCTGCAAGCACAGCTTTGTGAGCCCGAAATCGCTGATCTTCCACTAAAATTGTAACATCACAAAGGATATCTTGCTTTCGCTGATCATCAAGGCTGAGGAGTACGTTGGTACTGTGCACTGAAGATTCATAGGCAAACACCACACTGTTGTTCTCACTTAGAGACATTCTGTATCACAGGTGGTAGTGTGAGGCTCAGCGGAAAGCATGCTTCTGTGCTTCAGACCTGGGGGAGCAAAGAAACAAGGTGTACCCCTGAAAGTCACGTCCAACAGGAGGAACCTATCGGTACTGAAACACAAGCATGTTAAACGTGCGCTGTCCTGGTCTAATTCTTCTTCAAATCAGTACTTCAAATAAATGCATGCTTGTGACTATTTAAAGTACCCAAACCTTGATATGTACATCTTAACACAGCTTTTATAATCTCACAGACCAAAAAATGGACCTCTGCAATAAAGAACAGTTCTTTCTTAGCCAAGTGATTCAGAGGTATAAATTTACTGTAACACCTAGAAATTATCTAAGATTTCATTCTTAGTAATTGGTATATTCTAATTCCAACACTATGAAAATGTAAAGAGAAATAAAACAAATGCATTAAACTAAAATTCACCAAAATACTATGCGAGCTATTTCATTTTACTGATTCACCTAATGCAGTCAAAAATATATGTGTTCTGTCTTCTTTCAAAAGCATTTTGTCTGCTAAACCAATCAGGCATTGGCAAAATACCCTGCTTTTCTAGTAGGTTGGTGTTTTAAAATTTGAATTCTCTAACTGCCTTAACACAAACTTTTTCCCCCCTTTTCTTCCATGACTACTTGATTTGTCATACTTTTTACAAGCTTGCTTTCCAAATGGATCATTATGATTCAGATCATAATTCAGACCTGGCAATGGAATACTGTCTCTCTTCTGACAAAGTTCTCAACACTATTCATTGGATAATAAACAACAGTTAATATTATACAATATTTAAAACCTTGAAATATATAACTCATATATAATGGTTCTGAAGATTCTTAAATTTGCAGAAAAATAGAAGGGCTAGGGAGAAGGCAGTTCTGCTAGAGAGGGCAAAGTTTGAAAGTATTTCCAAATCTGATCTTTACACTGTATTTCACTTTCAATTGAGCCTCGCTTCCAATTAAAAGGAAGAAAAAAGATTATTAAGAAGTGTCCTTGCTCGATCAAGAAACCACTTAAATCAGACTTGGAATTATCCTATAAAGAAAATATGGTATTACTAGGACACATTATACCTTAACAAACCAAGCATTCAGATTACACTTGACCCCAGAGTTCCTGTAATTGAGCATAGCTGTGGAGACTCACTTCAGCTGACACGGGACTACCTCATGGCTCTATTGCTCAACAGAGGTTGTTACCATCTGCCAGTTCCCAACAATAATGAAACTGTAGCCAGTGCAAATCCTCAGGTTTCAGGTGTGGGGAAACTTTCACAACATGGGGAGTGCACAGGGCATGGACATATTTAAACACACTGCGGAAAAAGCAACCACGCTGCCAGCTGTGCTCCTGGTTACTACTGGTCAAGCTATTTTCATGGCACACAGGCATTTTGAGTGAACTTTTGAACAGAAAGAGAGAAGAAAAAGATCCCCATTTCCAGTGGCAGTAACAGCACAGTACTAGGCCGGACCCCAGGGAAGTGCAGAGCACATTAGCATTACCTGCCCTTCCCACTCCCTTATGGAACACTGTACACTTAATTTCACCAACAAAATGTACAAATGTATGGTGAAAACAGAAGTTTTGAGGGGAAAATCCCTAAAGTTCCACAAAGCTGAGTTTTTCTCTGTAAGAAGCAGTAGACAAAAGTGCTATATGGCATGCACTGTTAATCCTAAAGGGCTTATTTTTGGAAGGAAACAGTTTAAATGTTTTCATATACCTAATAACAAGACTACAGATTCATTAACTTAGGAAATATTTAATTTCCAATCAATTTACATGGGAACAAAATTATTCCTCATGGAACTGCTATTCATGAAACTCTATTTTTAGAAGAGCTTATGAAAACTAGTGCAATATAAATTATATATTCCTAACTGGATTGCTCTATAGCCTAACTGATCATCTTGCTCATATCTTACAGCACACAAAGTTTAATGAAGTATAACTCGTGTATTTGTTACAAGGTTTAAAAAAAAACCCTCAAAACCCCAAAAAGTAACAGAGGACAAACCAGAAAAATTGAAGACTAAATCCACAGTGGTGGGGAGCACAGGGAAGTATTATAGACAAGGACATATTCTGGGTGAGCATTAGGCAAAACTCATGAGGGAGACTGCAGTTAAAGACAAGCCTTAAAGTGTTCTTTTTTTCTATCTTCTTAGATAGACAACACAGATCATATATGCTGCTTTTGGGTTTTTCCTGATTAAATAATCAATTCCAATATCCAGTTCAGTTCACTACGCTTCTCTAGCACAGAAGGCTAAAAGGAACAGTAGTTTATTTCTATTTGTATAGATACAGAAAAATTAATGCAAAGAAGAGTTAACCGTCCTTCTCATTTATCTCTGTGAGACACACACCATCCTTTCAAAGCAGCTTGTGGACTACTTGGAGCACTGAGGGAAAGCTTCCAATGTTTCATCTGCCAGGAAAAAAAAAAATAAGCTTTCCACACTGAAACACTACCTTCTGTTTCTTGAGAAGTGAATGAAATACTTAGTGTGAGCATAACTCCATTTAACACTTTACTCTGACAGAATGTTGTACTTCCTAATTGTGAGGACTTCATCAGCCAAGTTATGTCCCCTCTACATTTAAACAGGATGACAAGTTTGAGGTATCCAAAATATAGCATGCAGCACTTAATAAGCATTTCAAACATTAGGAGAACCCTTAAAAAAACCCCACAAAACAAAAATATCACTCCCACACTACCCCTCAAACATTAAATTTGTCTCAGTCTTTGTAAAATTCAGGTATTCAAATACAATAGAAAAAAATTCCAAAGGTAAAGCATCAGAAAACTGAAAATGCTGGTGAAAACAAAAGCATGAAATGGGAAAGAGAAAATGCAACCACTGTTAAAAGCTGTTACAATTAAGAACTAACAGAGGCCAAACTTGTGAATGTCTGAATTCTGTTTTCCAGTTGTGTAATAAGGGCAGGATACCACATTTACGATAGTATCTGTCATGACAGCCAACCAGATTTTCCACAGCAGCGTGAGTACAAAATACCTTCTCTATAACTAGATTTGTTCTACACACATCCACAACAAGAATGGTTCCTGTCATAGCAAAGAGAAAAAGTACATCTCTTCTGTGAATGGTTAAATTTCTCTTCTACTATAACTGTTCTTCTAGACCACCCAGAATTCTTAAAATTAGTTTTATTTATGATTGGGTGGACAAAGAGAGGAAAAGGTATGAAGCAGAGAAAACAATTCAATTAAACTTACAAGTCTGTGCTACAACTGTCATGAGGATAGGCCTTCTAGGCTTTTCTGTCCATGTTACATAATTGAATTTTCTACAAATATTACTTATCAGGCTCTTTTTACCACTTTCGGAAATAATATCAGCAACCAGGTATTAAAAAGGAAAATCGATACTACAAACAATAACAAATAGATATTTGTAACAGACATTGCCATAAGAAATCTGGAGAGTCCAAAAAGATCTTTCAAAACCTAAAATAGTTCTCATAACAGAGGTTGGAAGGATTAAAGAAGTAACACCATTAAAGCTCACTCTACAAATCCTCAGTTTGTGGAAGAAAACTAGTAGTGTGAGCATTCTTCAAATTCCTCTCACCTGAAACCCTGCACACCTAATAATCTCATACTCTTGAGACTGAAAATTAAAAAATGAATGTGAATGTAAGCATACACACATGCTAGTATAAAACCTACAGGAACACTTGAAGCACAACCAAGTCTGCTACTACAAAGTTTTCATTCTTTACCAATGATCTTGAGATAAATAATATTTTGCATAAGGGCAAAAATATTTCCTCCTAAGTACCAGCTATAAAACTTTATTCTGCTTTATCAAAGAGAAGTAACTCAATTTTTTTCTCCCTACTAGTATACAATTATGAAAATTATGCCCAACAGTTACCCCCAAAATTACCATATCTTCAGTAAATTTAGACATCTCTCCATGCAAATGACTATATATATTTCTTTTTTCTGAAGAACATATAAATACTTATGTTAATGGAAATCAGTAGTGCAACCACATTTAAAGAAGGAATACATGTTTCTTTAAGTATACAGTATAGAGACCCGAGCAAAACGCTCATCAGGACTCCTCGTAAAATACACATCTCATCCAAGGCTCATTTTTCTCATGCATTCAAAGTCATTCATTACATTATTACAGGAAGGTAATAGTGAGGTACAGTGAGTGTAAGGTACTTTAAAATTAGGCTGCAGGTTTGCTCATCTGATTGCTTACACCTGGTAACAATTACTGCTCTTTACTAGCTGACTGGAGAATAAAGGTAGATATAAAATCCTTTACTTCCTTCCACCACAGTCTCCGCTTTAGAGTCACTTGATGTAGATTCTCAGGTAAACCATAAAGTCTCCCCATTGATAGTTAAAAAAAAAAAAAAAGAAAGTATTCCAAAGATGAGACTCATGGTGGTTGAAACCAGGCAAAGCTAAAGCTATAAGGAACTAAGTTACAGAAGAAAATAGCAGTAAAACAGGTAAGCTTGTTGAGGAATGTATCCACTGCATGTAGAGTACAAGAGTAGGAACAGAGTACCAGAGTAGAACCCAAAATAGTGTGATATATTCCTCATCCACACAAAAATCTCACACAAGGCAGACAAACTTTCATCCAAGCTCAGCACCACCACCACATGTAAGAGGACACTCAACATCCTGTGGACAAATAAGTGTCCTGGAAGAGTTGAAGGAAGCTAAAAGGCATCAAATTGTCATTTAAGGTGACAAAAGCACACGCATTTGCATATATCTTTACCAAAACGCTTTTTGAACATTCTGAATGTTTCAAGTGTCATTAAAAATACTAAATCAGAGCACAGAAACCCATGAAAATAATGACAGTCATATCTTTACTACTTTGAAAACTTAGACTTTCAGGAAAAACAGCTATTTACATTTTACAATCTTCACTCTATGCGCTAAATCCAAGGACCTGGAAAATTAAATTATAGTATCTAATAGTCACCAAGATGCACTGGGAACACCAAATCTAGAGGCAGCATCC